TTGGGAGCAATTTGATTATTTGAGTTGTCATCCGCTTTTTCCTTATTTGAGTTCATTTATATCTCGTCGGTGTTCTGATTATGTTGTTTCGTTATTACTCGTTTAGTACTTGCTGCCATTTATGTTCCTATTACTTAATTATTGGTTGTAAATCAATAATTCTTCCGCCGTTGGTCTTACATTGATATTTTTTCCATTGTTAGCATATGTATATCTTGAATAGGCTTCTATGTCTAGTAGGTGTCTTGACCTGGCATCGTCACTACTCTACTGAGGTTAGGCTTGATACTTACTGGATACCATTATGGTGTACTCATTCTTGAATGAGTAGGTGTCTTGACATGGAAGAAAGTTGAAGAAGAACCTTGAATTCTTCCAATCTCGAACTTTAAAGATGAGAAAAACTCCAACAACATTAATAGCCAAAAATGCCCAGCTATTCTACATCTTGTGCCAAACGATCCCAAAATTGGCTTTTGATGCTTCTAATGGATTCCTCGTGAAATGTCAGTCAAGTTAGGCTTTTGAATCATTCCAGTTGACCATATAATGAAGAAGATATGTTATTTTAGATATTTGAAAATAATGCAGATTTTTAATACGAATTAAGTGGCAATTTCGTAATTAATCTGAAAAATATGGCAATCTAATTCTTAGTAAAATGACCATAAATTCTCATATGATGTCGCAACTTGATTATTTCAATTGCTATTATTCCAAAATTACGATACGGATATAATGGTTTAATCAAAAAACGAATAAAAGGGAGTTTACTCATTATGGTAACCTTTACGCTCAAATCGACGTCGAAATCGAAAACAATTACCATACAATCCAAACTTATACAAGACTCATCGGAATTTAACCAAACTTTGTGGACATGTCCAAAATAATCATACAAATTTATTGAAATAATTAAAATTCGATTTCGAGTCCGTTTACCCAAAAGTCAAATCTTGGTCAACTCTTCCAACTTAAATCTTCTAAAGTGAGAATCATTTTTCCAAAAAATCTTGAACCACTCGAAAACCGAAACCAACCCTACGCGTAAGTCATAATACATAATATGAAGCTACTCAAAGTCTCAAACCACTGAATGGAACGCTAAATCTCAAAATGACCGGTCGGGTTGTTACACGAGCCTATTTACGTGATCACGATGAACTCCCCTGACACCAGAAACCAGCAATCACAAAACACAAGAAAATGGTCTGAAACCATCTCGAAATACACCCGAGGCCCCCGGGACCCCGTCCAATCACACCAACAAACCCCAAAATATAGTATGAACCTGATCAAGGCCTCAAACCACACCAAACAACATCAAAAATATGAATCAATGATCGAAACCTTTATTTAAACTTTCAAACATTTAAACTTCGACGAACGCATCCGAAGCATACTTAAATATTCTAAATTGACGCCAAACTTTACGTACAAGTCATGACATACGATATGAACCTATTCCAAGGCTCGGAATTCCAAATGGATATCGATAATGCTAAAGTCCACTTCATATCAAACTTAGGAATTCTTAAACCCTTCAAATTGTCAACTTTTTACAATAAGCGATGAAATGCTCCCTGTCCACGCGATACTCAACTCGAACATACGCCCAAGTTTGTAATAATCATAAAAACTATTGGAATCTTCAAATCCTGATTCTGAGGTTATTTGCTCAAAAGTCAAACCTTCGTCAACTCTTCCAACTTAAAGTTTCCGAATTGAGAATTTTCCCTTCGAATTAATTTTGAACTTCCCAAAATTCAATTCTGATCACATGTATAAGTTATAAAACATGAAGTGAAGCTAGGCCTCAAACCTCTGAATGATGTGCTAGAGCTAGGAATGATCGGTCGGGTCGTTACACTTTTATGCTAATTATTGTTTCTTATGAATTTACGGGGTGCATTCTAATTTATTGAATGCGGGAAGATACAGAATCAGCCTTGATACAAAGATTGAAACTACTTCATCCTTAACTGTAGAAGATCATCTGGTGGCAACATCTTCAATCCCCAGATCAAATACTTAGAACTTTGTTTTGTTTTGATGTGGAACCCTGTCACGACCCAATTTAGGATCGCGATCGGCACTCAGGAGCAAGTGCTCCCATGTAAGCCTCATTGGTATTTTATAAAATCGGACAAGGTTTTTCCCTGTGTTCGAACGATCCAAAAATAATTCCTTTCTTATCAATAAACAATAACCAACCAATATTCACCTAACATGTCATAATCACCATCAACTAACAAAAAATGACCACATGTACATAGTAAGTAACAAACCTAACCATAGGTTGAAAGTAGTGGTGAGTTGGAACAAAGGTCAGAGTCCAACACCAATAACTAGCACTAGTTCATAATGTGGTACAAGAAATAACTCAGAAATATGATGTTCAACTCGTTTACAGTTACGGGAAAATAGGCATGCTTTTCAAGTATTATAGTAAATCCCAAATCTTTAACCATTATCTCAAAAAAATGTGAGTAAGTCAGAAATCTGTGATATTTCCCCAAAACTTTCAATAGTAGTTAAGAAGTCTCATTATCATATGGCATGAGGAAAGTACATCTATATGCTTACATGTTAATGCACATGTGCATGTCATGAGTGTCACTACACCGTATAGCACGAGAAAATGCATCCCAATGCCTATATGCGAAGTATGCATGCCAACTGTAATATAATGCAGTGATAAAACCATATGCATACTCTCAGTGTATCAACTCCCTCAGTCCTCCCAATCACTCCATCCTCACAGTCACTCAGTCATCATAGTCACTTGGCACTTGCGCTCAATGCTCGCACTCGGCACTCGCACTCAACATTGTACAGGGCAGATCCATCCCAAAAATTAATAGCAACTGCGCTCACTGTGGGTGTATAGATTCCACTGGGGCAAATCTAGCCCAGGCACTATAATAGGCCAATCATGGCATGAATCAATAATACCTTTTGCGGCGTGCAACCCGATCCCATCAATATTACTCACAATCCAGCCCTCAAGCCCCAACTCAATCATCAATATATCCAGTCTCTCGGGCTCTCAATATCATGAAAATCGGCCCAAAATAATTATATGATGTGTCAATAAATAGCAACAGAGACTGAGCTTTGATATGCAAATGAATGAGTATGTAACTGCAATTTAAGCAAATAACTCAACAACATATATGACCTCGGTAGGTCCCAGCAGAATAAGCATATAGCCTAAATATGGTTTCTAGCATGGATCACTGCTCAGTTACTCTAACACGTAGAGATTTCTTGGATAAAAACAAGATTCGGTAACTACATTGTACCATAGAAATAACCGAGTCATAATTTATATGGTGCACGCCTATACACCCATCACCTACCATGTGTGTCACCTCAACATCAATACATAACACGTATATTCAGGGGTTCATACCCTCAGCACCAAGTTCAGAAGTCTTACTTACTTCGAACAAGCCGAATCCAATACCGAGCAAGCCAAACGATGCTCCAAAAATTCCATCCTGTGCTTACCAACTACCAAACGGCTCAAAACTAGCCAAAAGCAACTCAAGAACATCAAATAATGCCTAAGAAAACAATTCCAAATGATAAAGGTCGAATATTTAATCAAAATCCCAAAGTCAACCAAAAAGTCAAACTCATGACCGCACAACGAAACCCGATGAAACTCACAAAATCCGACAACCTATTCAATTACGAGCCCAACCATATAGTTTCACTCTTATATGACTTTGAATCAATGTTAAAAACTCAAAAATTTACTCTATGAAACTTTAGACAAAAACCTTCAATTTGTTTCTTTAAAATCCACATTCTAATAACAAAAAACAAAGATAGATTCATGAAATCTAACCAAAATAGAGTATAGAAAACTTACCCCAATCCATGTGATGATAACCACCTCAAAAATCGCTTCAATTTGAGCTTCATAGCTCTAAATATGATAAAATGGCCGAAACCTTCGAAATAGAGTACTTTATATTCACTGGACGAATTTATGAATTGCAATCGGAGAAATACCATGACGATCACGAAGAAGAAAAATGCACTGCCCCAGAAATAATCTATGCGATCGAGGAACAACCTTCGCGATCGCGAAGAACAAACAGCATTGCCTCCACAAATACTCTACGCAATCGCGAGATAACTCATGCGAACGCAAACTATACTGCCTCCAACCTTTGTGAACGCATCCTATATTACGCGAACACGTTGAAGAAATTCTCCAGCCCCAGCTTCTCAACTCAACTCTACACGAATGTGATACTACCTATGTGAACGCGATGCTCAAACCTCCAATGGTACGCGAACGCGTTAGAGTAGTCGTTAACGCAAGAAGGAAAAAGGCCAACTCCCATAATACACTATGCGATTGCGATTAAGTCTTAGCGATCGCGAATAAGGTCGGAGACACAAGAAAATCAGCAACCATATATGAATGAAAAATTGTTTGAAGCACGTCAGAAACTCACCCGAGCCATTCGGGACCTCGTCCGAACATACTAAAAAGTCCCAAAGCATAACACGGACTTACTCGAGGCCTCAAATCACAAATAACATGTAATGACCCGGCCGGTCATTCACTACAAAAAAAAAGGTTATTACGGCGGTTATTTTAGCATATAAGGGCGGTTTAAAACCACCACAATAGCGTATAATGGTGGTTTTGGAAAATACCAGAATCACGTTCGCCAAAAACATATTACAACGGTTCTTACAAAACCACCATAATCTTATATTTGATAAACTGGTGGTTTTTGTTAGTGTATTACGGCTGTTGGAAACCACCGCAATGTGTCCCATTTTATGTTCAAACTAGCGGTCAAGACCGCCATAATTGTGGTCTAACTATTTTATTTATTATTTATTTCGGTACTTATGTTTAAACCTTTTTATCACATCAATACATCCAAACTTGCTTAATAGTTTAGAGTAACTTTGACACAAATACAAAACATCAATTAAGTAAAAAAATTATTATTTAAAAATGGTACAGGTACCTAAATATTTACATCATCAAATGAATTAATATTTCAAAGAATTGTTCAATAACAATATAAACAATCATAGTCAATCTTTGCAATATTGCATTGAGCCTACCTTCTCAACATCGATAAAAATACCAAAAATGCTATGTATTTTATCATGACATTCAATTTGCGGAGATCTTATAACTAATTTGTAAAACTCATCTTCATCTCCCATAATTTCTTTTTTCAAAGATCATTCCCTCAGCAGCTCTAATTTCTTGTTCCCTGCATAAAAAGATTACTTCACATGAAGAGAGTTAAATATGTAAATGTGGGTAAGAAGCAAACACTCTTTCAGTCTAACTCAACTCCTAATAATGGGCACCATATAACTCGGAGAACACAAAAGTTATTTATTAACTCAAATTAAATGTTTATGCAAATTCAATAGGAAACCCAAATTAAAGCTAAGAAGAATCTAACAATTGACCCAATTGTCTAATCTATTGGATTAAAGTAATTGAACATATCTGCGTCCTGATCATGTATTTGCACTATTTACATTGTCTTACCAAACGAAAAATCGAAAAGCAAGAAATTGCATGTGACATGTTCATCTGAGAAACATCAAATGAATGAGCTGCCGAACGAGCTGATATGGCAAGGTTGCCAGGAACCTGAACAATGCATAACATAAACTGACATAGTATCAATTTTTTGGGAAGTTTTAAAATTAGCAAGATAATAGCACATGAGCTCTTCAGCAATCTTAATGTCAGTATAGATTTCAAACTACTTATACAACACATCATATTTCTCATCATCTCCACCATCTTCTTCTCGTGTTCGATTAGTCTGCTTGCAGTTTTTTTTTTGCAGGGGGTGGGGGGAGGGCGAAAAGCAATGATCGGAAGAATAATTCCAGACACGTAATGCAACTCTAATTATTCAGAATGCAGAATGCTGATAGCAACTTCAGCAGTGTTGCTATGCTTGTAACTCGCACCAAAAATTAGACATGAACTTCAACTAATTTATCATGCTCCTCAAAATATCAACATGAAAATCGGAAACAAATAAGGATCAAAACCAAAGACAGAAGATAGAATGATGAATAAGAGGAATTTCAATACACTTTTCACGGCCAAAAGTAGCACTGATAAGGTTCTTAAACATTCATAAAGGGATCAAACAAATAAAATAAATAACTAGAAAAGTGCTTATTTTAGCGTGCTATCACAATTTAAAATTTTAACATTGATACACAAAAGTAAAGTAGTCACACAATAATGACCTAAATTTTACAACATAATGAAAGCGACTAACAAGGGATTTGTTTTTCTTTTTGAATTTGAGAGGATTTGGAATAACAATCAAATCATAAATGAAAGGAATATTAGTTAATGCAACTCTAAGCACTTTCATTCAAACTAACTGAACCTTTCATGGTTTGAGAATCAACTAGACATATGTACTCAAAGAATTGAAGCTCATGTTAGGTCCTTCGACAAAATCAACCATGTAGAGCTTACTTTTTTCCATCTTTTAAATTGTGAGAAAATACTAATTATTAGATTAACTGTCTTTTCTTGGACATAAAAACAAAGACAAATAATGCAAAGTTGTAATCTTTTAGTCAAATATAGGTTTTACTAGACATGCACAACAACAACCTCTAAATTGTTCAGACAAATAATACCTTCTACACAAATCAACTTCTTCAGTTTAATCAACTTTTGCCATGAGAATACGCCCATCTATTTCGCGGTCGTATCTGAAAAAATTGCAAGATGAAACTTAAAATTAGCATTTCAGCGGGGGATTGTTCGAAACTACGTTTCAGAAAAGAACACAAAATGCGTGAAACATCCTAATCTAGAAGCCAGGATTTAAAACTTCAGACACAAAAAAGGACACTTCGTTTGCTTACATTTTGAGGAACTTATGCTCAATACCTGTCCTACAAGATATCCCAAGTAAAATAAACAAACAAGAATATGTTAACAAAATACTCAATATAGCCTTGGCCTAAAAGAAAAGGTATGAAGCAAAGAAACATCATGCCATCAAAATAATATCAACCTTAAATATTTAATTGTGTCAACTTCTCGCTTAAAATCTTTCATTACTAGGTACATAAAGGCTCGAAGATACACTTAAATGAAAAACAAATGTTATTTCATTAATAATACACATTATGTACTACAAACTAGACTCTAAAGTCAAACCAACTACTATTCCCCAAATCAAGGCAACTTATGATTAATTTGTAAAACTACACTATCACACTATGCAAGAAAGCCAACTAAATGGATAGAAACGTTAACCTATTTATCCAACTATTTAATAAATACCAAACTCATATCTTGGAGCCAGTTTGCACTGCCTAGTTAAAAGCAACAAAAAAAGGATATAGTATCATGCCAAATCATACTGAAATTAATCCAAGCAGACTACTTTAATTCTTTAACAAGCAGAATTTCATAGCTGGCATAAGGATATATTGAAATAAATGATCGTGAAATGTCAATCCCACAGACAACTCTTGGTTTAATCAATCACTAAGTATTGATCCTGGACTAGTTACGACCACTATACAACCCTCAATACACATTATGCTAATATATATTTGAACGAGCAACTATGGGTTCTCGCATCCTTAAAGGACTTTTAGCAAATTCGTTCCTTATGATACCAGATATATAAAATAGCAAGCTAAGAACAGATCTAATAATAAAAGTGACAAAGCATCACAAAACCACAAAGAAATCGTAGATCCACACAAATACCTACACAGACATAAGTAAAAACTAGAGGAAAATAGAGAGACCTGGATGAACCTGCGAGCTTCATCGGAGACCTGGCGAGAAAAGGAGACAGAAAGGAGGGAAAAAGGAGTCGGCGGCTACAATGAACTGGTGAAACGCCGACAACGATTTGTGAAAGATTTTGTGAGAGGAAGAGGAAGAAAGGCACAATGCATAGAATAGGGTATTTACTGTAGGGTGAGAGAGAGAGGTGGGATACCTAATTTGCGAGTGTTGAGGTATTATTAGAGTCTTGGGAATAAAGCTAAAAATATGTTTAAAATCAAAATAAAAGAATAGGCCGTTAAATCCCATCTCAACATAAATTAAACTGTTGCTTTTGGAATGTTTAATATGGCGGATGGATAACTGCCACAATATTATTGTATTTATAGAGGTTTTAAGGAACAACCGAATTAAAACCGTCGCAATTTCATGTCTTTTTTGTAGTGATTTTGAGAGTATTAGCCATGATCCCCTATTTACTGCTTTCCCCGTATCTTTCTATGTTTATGTGATTTGTTGAGAGGTTTTGTCTTTGGTTTTGGAGTAGTTTGAGATACTTAATCCCTAAAATAGAAGCATATGTTCTAGGAATTTGACCGTAGTTGGAACTATGTAAAGACGGCTTCGGAACATAGTTTTGTCGGTTCCGTTGGCTCCGTTGGGTTATTCAAACTTTGGAACATGTGCGGATTGTGATTTGGAGGTCCGTAGTTGAATTAGGCATGAAATAGCGAAAGTTGAATTTTTGGGAAGTTTGACCAGTGGTGGACTTTTGATATCAAGGTCGAATTTCAATTTCGGAAGTTGGAGTAGGTCATTAATTCAAATGTGACTTGTGTGCAAAATTTGAGGTCAATCGGACGTGATTTGATAGGTTTCAGCATCAGTTGTAGAAGTTTGAAGTTTCAAAGATCATTAAGTTAGAATTAGGGTGTGATTCGTGTTTTTGTTGTTGCTTGATGTGATTTGAGGGATCGACTAAGTTTGTATGGTGTTTTAGGACTTGTTGGTAGGTTTTATTGAGAGCTCCCGGGGGCTTCGGGCGTGTTTCAAATCACTTTCGGATTCATTATGGACTTGTGAGAATTGCTGAAGTTTTCCAATTTGTGGTGTCATCGCACCTGCAATAAGGTTGTCTGCAGGTACAGACATGCACGTTCGAAAGGAAAGCTCGCAGATGCGGCCCTAGTATGGGTATTCAGCTTGTAAATTTTTTAGAGGGAGGTTTTGCGGTGTATTGTGCGGCCGCAAAGCAGGTCTGCAAACCGCAGACTAGTCATAGACTGAAGCAGAAAATGTTAGTTACGGAGGGCCAATAATGCGGCCCACTTTACGGACCGCAGAAGCATTATGCGGTCACATATATGACCACAGATCTGTGTCGGGGCTCCAATTTTTTGAATTTTCAAACCCGACCCCACCCTAATATAACTCATTTGGGGATCATTTTAGAAGGCAAAGCCTTATATTTCTAGAGAGAGAATACCATAGAGTGAGAAGGGGAGTCCCTAAGCTCATCACAAATTAATTTTTTGCTCAAAGTTGAGGAATTTTCAAGAAGAATTCACTAGGTCTTCATCCTAAGAGGTAAGATTCTACACCCTAACTCTAAATCTCGATAATTAGCTAAAAATGAGTAATTAGCAAGATAATTCTTAGGTAGGGGCACAACACAGCTATCCAGTTCTGCAGTCGCTACATCCTCAGCACCCTCTCCAGCTCGAGGCACTCTAGCACCCGCAGGGCGTGGTATAACTTGGGGTGGTGCACAGAGTTCAGGAGGACCCAGCCATTTCTATGTTATAAGTGGTCGCCAGAGTGCAGAGGCTTCTCCAGATGTTGTCACAGGTATACTGACTGTCCAATCTTATGATATGTATGCTCTTATTGATATCAGTTCCACTTTGTCCTATGTCACTCCTTATGTTGCTATGGAATTTGGGATAGAACCAGAATAGCTTCAAAAGCCATTCTCTATATCTACTCCAATTGGTGAGTCCATTATGGTCGCGCGTGTTTATAGGAACTATGTTGTCACGGTGCGTGGTCGGGACACCATAGCCAATCTCATTGAATTGGCAATGGTTGATTTTGATGTAATAATGGGAATGTATTCGCTTTATTCATGTTTTGCCAAGCTCAATTCTCGAACTATAACTATGAGGTTTGAATTTCCAAATGATCCATTGTTTAATGGAAGGAGGATAATGTGGTGCCAAAGGTAGGTTTATTTCTTACCTAAGGCCACGAAGATGATTAACAAGGGATATATTTACCATTTGGTTACAATTACGGATACCAATGCCGAGGCACCTACACTTGAGTTTGTGTCCGTTGTGAATGAATTTCCGGAGGTCTTTCCTGATGAGCTCCCTGGGATTCCGCTAGATAGGGAGATTTATTTTGGGATTGTTGTGATGCCAGGCACGTAACCTATATCTATTCCACCTTACAGAATGGCACCAGCAGAACTGAAGGAGCTAAAGGAACAATTGAAGGATCTGTTAGAGAAGGGTTTCATCCGACCGAGTTTGTCGCCTTGGGGCACACTGGTTCTCTTTATAAGAAAGAAATATGGGTCGCTACAGATATGTATTGACTACCGGCAGCTCAACAAAGTCACAATAAAAAATTAAGTACCCACTACTAAGGATAGACGGTTTGTTTGATCAATTATAGGGTTCTAGTTGCTTCTCCAAAATTGATTTACGATCCAGGTATCACCAATTGAAGATCAGGGAGCAAGATATTCTGAAAATAGCTTTCAGGACCCGGTATGGGAACTTTGAATTTCTGGTGATGTCTTTTGGGCTAACAAGTGCCCCGACATTTTTCATGGATCTTGTGAATCGGGTTTTCAAGACTTTTCTTGACTCCTTCGTAATAGAGTTCATTGACGATATTCTTGTATATTCATGAAGTTGTGAGGACCATATCGATCATCTCAAGGCAGTTCTGTAGACTCTTCATCAACACCAATTGTATGTGAAGTTTTCGAAATGTGAATTTTGACTGGAATCTATCACATTCTTGGGTCTTTTTGTCTCCAGAGAAGGAATTAAGGTTGATCCTCAAAAGATTGCAGCGGTGAAGAATTGGCCTAGACCTACAACTCCAACAGAGATTCGCAGTTTCTTGTACTTAGCAGGGTATTATAGGAAGTTTGTGGAGGGGTTCTCTACTCTTGCCTCTCCGTTGAATAAATTGACGGTTAAGTTCCAATAGTCTGATGCTTGTGATAGGAGCTTCCACAAGTTGAAATAAAAATTGACTACGACACCGATGTTGACCCTGCCAGAGGGTACATATGGGTTTGTGGTATATTGCGATGCTTCAAGGAATGGTCTTGGGTGTGTATTAATGCAACATGGAAAGGTGATAGCTTACACTTCTAGGCAACTCAAGAATCATGAAAAGAACTATCCAACACATGACTTAGAACTTGCAGCGGTGGTTTTTTCCTTGAAGATTTAGTGTCACTATTTATATGGGGTCCATGTAGATGTATTCCCGGACCACAAGAGCCTTCAGTATATTTTCAAACAGAAGGAATTGAATTTGAGGCAGAGAAGATGGCTGGAGTTACTCAAGGATTATGACATTGATATTTTATATCATATGGGGAAGGCTAATGTTGTGGCGGATGCTCTTAGCCAGAAACCTATGGGTAGTTTGGCTCACTTGTAGGCATATCAAAGGTCGTTGTCCCTGGAGGTTCATCAGTTGGCTATCTTGGGAGTTTGTCTTGCGGACTCTAGTGAAGGAGGAGTAATGGTGCGAAATAGAGCTGAGTCATCGCTTGTGGTGGAGGTCAAAGAAAAGCAGTACAACGATCCATTGTTGGTATAATTGAAGAAAGAGATTCATAAACATAAGACCACATCTTTTTCTCTTGGCATGAATGATGGTACACTACGGTACCAAGGGCGACTATGTGTTCCAAATATTGATGATCTTTGGGAAAGAATCATGGCTGAAGCTCACACTTCTAGGTATTCCGTGCACCCAGGTTCTACAAAGATGTATCAGGATCTCGAGGAAGTCTATTGGTGGAATGACATGAAGAGGAATGTAGCGGACTTTGTGGCAAAATGTCCAAACTATCAGCAAGTGAAGGTCGAGCATCAAAGGCCCGGTGGGTTGGCATAGAACATAGAAATTCCAATGTGGAAGTGGAAAATGATTAACATGGACTTTGTGGTAGGACTACCATGCACTCCGCGCAACTTTGACTCAATTTGGGTAACTATGGATCAGCTCAGAAAATCACCTTACTTCTTGCCAGTTAAATCTACTGACACAGCGGAATAGTATGCTCAGTTGTATATCAAGGAAATAGTCAAGTTGTATGGCGCTCCAGTTCCTATCATTTCTGATCAAGGAGCTCAATTCACGACCAATTTTTGGAAGAAATTTCAGCAGGGTTTGGGCACTCAAGTGAACCTCATTACAGCCTTTCATTCACAGACAGACGGGCAGGCAGAGCGGACTATTCAAACGCTTGAGGATATATTGCGTGCTTGCGTCTTTGACTTCAAGGGTAGATAGGATAACCATTTACCACTCATAGAATTTGCTTATAACAACAGCTATCATGTTAGTATTCAGATGCCACCATTTGAGGCGTTATATGGTAAGAGATGTAGATCTCCCATTGGGTGGTTCGAGATTGGGGAAGCTGAGTTGATAGGACCAGACCTTGCGCATCAAGCTATGAAAAAGGTTAAGATCATTAAGGAGAGGTTAAAAACTGCTCAGAGTCGTCAAAAGTCCTATTCGGATATTTCGTCGCAGAGATTTGGAGTTCAAAGAAGATATTTGGGTATTCTTCAAGGTTTCCCCCATGAAGGGTCTAATGTGGTTTGGAAAGAAAGGAAAATTGAGTCTGAAGTATGTCGGGCCATACAGAATCATTCAAAGGATTGGTCAGGTGGCGTACAATCTTGAACTACCACCTGATATGTCATTAGTGCTCCCGGTATTTCACGTGTCTATGTTGAAGAAAATAGTTGGAGATCCGTCACTTATCGTACCAGTTGAGGCTATTGAGGCTAATGAAGAACTGTCATATGGAGAAATTCCAGTTGTCATTCTTGATAGAAAAGTGCGAAAGTTGAGAAATAAAGAAATTGTCTCCGTTAAGGTGCTATGGAGAAACCAACAGGTTGAAGAGGCTACTTGGGAGGCCGAGGAAGAGATGAAGAAGAAATATCCTTACTTGTTTGAATAGCTATGTAATCTTTTTATGAAACTGTCACCTATGAATTTTGTATCACTTGT